GTTTATACGGAAGATCATCATGTGATCACGTGAATTTCAGCATCATCCGATTTCAGCATCATCCCCGACAATAATTAAAATAAACCTAATCTATATAGATATCTTACCCCAGAATCTTGTTTTCTAATAAAATAATCAAAAGCATAATAGGGATTATAGGCTTTAAAAATTTCAGGATATTGAGAAATGTTCCAAATTCCAACAGAAGCAAGAGCGATAAACCAAAGAGAGACAATTGGAGCAAATAAATTTCCAACCTTTCCAGTGCCAAATTGTTGTAGTAGAAATAATACAACGAGGATAATACTTAAAAAGAAAATGAGAATAATTCATTTAATAACTATTATTTATCAAATAAAATAAACAACGATAATATATGTAAATATATACCAGCTAATAGGAACAATAGCAGGTTTTAAACTTGGCGCAGAGACGGCCATACCCTCAACGGCGGAAATTACGGATATGGCGGGAGTTAGAAGACCATCACTCATTACTAAAGAAGCGCCAATAAGGACCACGCCAAGTAAAATAATTTGTACAGTTTTACTACGCTTAATAAAGTTTGGACCTTCTGGAGAGCCACTAACTGATATACTATCATGTTTCGAAATCGTCAAATCATCGGGACTCGAATTTCCGCGTACAGAAATGCCAGAATGTCTAAAATAAAAGTCGTCAATATTATGAACACGTGACCATATACAAGATATACGTAGGACTTACCGACTTAATAATGAATACAAAGCAAAAGTGCCACCTTCACCATTATCATCTGCTCGGAGTACTATGGAGACATACTTTATCAATACCACGATTGTCTAAAAAAATGATTGTCAATGTTAATTTTTTTTAAAAAAAAATAAAAATAAATGAAATAAAATGAACAAAAATTTGGAAATTAAAGACCCACTAATGACCAAACGATCAAAGATAAAGCACCTAAGTAATTTAAAATAAAACTAATTAGAATTAAAAACCAGAAATTAAATTAGTTAAAGTAACATATACCATAAATGTCTCGAGGGTCAGTAGGCGGATTCTTGAAGATTCCAGTGAACACTATGGTAAAGATAAATTAAAAGGTTCGGAACAGTTGCTAAAAGGGGAGGAATAAAACATACATACCATATAGGGGCGAAGTACCAATATCTCCAAATATAACGCCTAAATTTTATGATAAAATATTAATGAATTGACAATGGATTATCATTATGAATAAATCAAAATGGATACCTAGCGACTTGAAGGCTAAGCTTAAAGTAAATAAAAATGAGCCTCCCTAAGAATACATATATTAAATTAGTAAATGAAATAAATTTACATTTTCATTATGTAAAAGGCTTACTTTTTTTCTGAACTCTTGATCGGACATTTTTTATCGGGCGTTGAGGAAAAAAAAATTCTATCGCTATGCATTATCGTTATATAACGTTTACAACATATAATACAGATATAGATTTCGTTTGTTTTTACTTTTTTTCTTGGCAAATAAAAAATCTGTACTTACAAATAGATAAAAATTTTCTCAAGTAAAAGTAATAATTTAATTATTAGACCTAATTATTAGATAGGGTGGATGAGTGAATTAAAGTTGCACATATTGTTTATCAAACCAAAATCTGTTTTATTCATAGAATAGTAAATAAGGTTTACAATACGCAGAATAAATCATAATTTGCCGACTTTTATTGTCACAGAGGTTAAGGTAATTGTGGTTAAAAGGTAACCGCCCTACTGAAGCTCCGTTCATTTCTAGCCATTAATATTTAACATAGAATTAACTTCTAAAACATGTATGCATACGTAGTACGTACTATTTTATAAAATGGTTATAAATTAGCATCTCTAACTGCAAATTGGATGGAGCCTGAAGCTTCGTTCATTTCTAGCGATTAGATATAGTATCTAGCATAACTTCTAAAAAACAACATGCATGCATGGTATATCTTTAATCGCAATTGATAGAGCCTGAGTCTGCTAAAGCTCAAAACATTTAACCTAATTATTGATTATATATAAACAATAAATAATTATTATGTAAATATCATCAGATCTAATTTAGAGATGCACGATGAAGTGTTTTTTTTTAGATTTTAATGTCAACCCGAAGCCAATTATTTGTAGAACCAGGTGTTAAAAGCCCAATATCCATTTGTAACAACTTTCAAGTATGAACTTCGTTCAATTGTGATCCTATGATTAAACTGTAAGATTGTTTATAGGATAGTGAAACAGAAAAATCTATAGAAAATTTATTAATTGATTCTTTACCGTTATCAATTTTACTTGCCTATATAAGTGGTAGTGATTTTAATTTGTCTCATGTCGTAGCCAGAGATGGAAATGTAACAACTTATGTAATCAATCCTCAATTATTCATATTATTGCTACGTATATATTACAAAAATAAAATAAATAATACAGTAATAAATAAAAATAAACGATTAAATAATAATTTATCTAATTTTTTCCGTTTTCCACAGTTCCTATTAGTCGTATTATTATAGTGCGAGAAATAGAAAAGACAGATTAATAATCCCTAGTGCTAGTGTGGCAAAAACATGTTTCATGTTTACAGATATTTTATCTTTTACAATGAGAAATAATTACTGTTCTTGTTATAGGGTTATAAATATTTTAAGTAAACATAGGTCAGGAAGGTACGTGCGTAGCTACTCTATGACGCATAACTTGATTGATTAGTATTAGTTACCTTCATTGTTATAATAACAGCTAGTAGATCAGCCCAAAAAAATTTGCACCCTTGTGTAACCAGACGCTACAGGTTTTATTAGTTATATGGTTATATAGTTAGTTTAGTGATTTGACCCGTCTAAAAAACCTTCATCCAGGTCACCCGTCGGGTGGACAATAAGTCACCCGGGTGGGGTCAACTTAAAAATGTCACCCACCCAGGTGGTAAAATAACAAAGAATTACAGCTCTTTTCAAATTCTAGACACCTAATAAAAATGATTTTTGACTGATTCGATTAAGTTATTGATTTCAGCATGATTGGTGTATATTTTTAGACGTTAAAGTCGGGATAATGTCATGAAACGTCTAGTTGACCAGTTTATAAAGCTATCTAGATAATATCGGACAATTTGAATCAAGACAAATCAGGATGATATTTGAGTTTTTTCCTATAGAACAAATCGACATATAAATTATAAATGCATAAATATGATAAGTGATACGTATAATCTTTTTTTGCGTCTCAATACAGCAATAGGAATATATAGATCACATGACTTTGAGGGCATAGTCTTGGCCTGGAAAAGAAGTGTCCAGACCAGTGCAATTACATTTTTGACATATAAAATGCGTAAATTAATGTAACTAGTGCAAATAACAATATTAATTAATATTAATATAATATGTTTTTTTGCTAATTACTAGATGTTAATATTATACGACTATATTAAATCAAAATTTAACCACTATTATATAGTATCGGTATGTTTATCTTTCCCAATTTTTTATTTGCATTGATATTACATAGTCAGAATTTCTTATATTGCATAAAAATACATTTTAAATTGCACGGATCTGGATACTCTAGATGCGGTATATAGGTATAGCCAGCATACAAACTAATAAATACACATTTAAAAACATAGATAGATATCTGATATGCAATGTTCGTACGTACGTACTAGGGTTGGGAATTATACGGTATAATAAATATTATACCGTTATCCTCCAAACTCTTATGATCATGAATTTATTTCTGCCTGTTATTTTTTTCATGTGTTACGAAATATTTACATTTACTTGAATTAAAACTCAGTCGACGACTCCCTACCAATCATGATCATAAATTATCGGATAACACCATTATTCGGCAAATTTTTGAATAACAGTAATTTGGTTCAACCGGGCAAATGATTGGCTGACACGTGCCGCGAAGCCCGGTTGAACCAAATTACCGTTATTCAAAAATTTGCCGAATAATGTATACATAATAGTATTTCAAATGATATGCATAGAATTTTTCAAGTTAAATCTTACATGTAACATTGGGGTTGGCGATATACTATTTAAATCAAAACTATATGTAGTATCATATAAAATTTCATTATCAATTTTTTTTGTGTAACAGAATAGATCCAACAGTACGTACGGCAAATATGTTTATTATCATTATTATTAATTACAATAATAAAAAATGCTTTAATTATTTTAGATTGTTAATAACAGCCCACATATTTAAAAGATTTAATACTAGCATAATAAGTCTTTAAAAAGATCTGAGGTGATATCGGATCCAAATTGTGGTGTATTAATTTCTTGTAATGAAAAATTTTTTCAGGTTTTTCATATTTCTTTTAGTTCTTCTGATAAATTTTCTTTATTAATGTTGATTAAAGACAAATGAAGCTTAGACTACTTAACTGGCAATAACATGTTTGGGTGGGTTTTCAAATCTAATTTGTTGAAAAGATCCTCACTTGTTGTTGATAAATAATTATGAAATATATTCAGGTCTTGACAAAGTTATATAAATATGGATAATTGTATATTAATAGTTTATTTTCAGCATAGAATTGCTCAAATTCTCTAAAGAAGTTTTTATTTTATAAGAGCAGTAACAGATATTACATAATATTATTTTATTATAGAAGTATCTCCTCCTTCACATAAGTCAATTCTGATTGGCTAATTTAAAAAAAAATTATAATAAATTATATAATTATACAAGTTACTCTCATTATAATGAAGTTGTTGGGCTAAAAAATTTTTTTCACTATATCGAGATATTTACTATATTGAAAACTCTTAATATAGTAAAGTTTATATTTAAAATTAAAAATCTTCATTATATCGAGAGATTTTTATATATATATATATTTTTTTTGGTGTTAAGATGAGGTCTTGCCTCATATCTTTATTAGATGTGTTAAGTATTTGCCTTATATAGCTACATATAATTTTAAGAATACTGGCTTAGACAATTTTATCTACGACCTAAACCTACCAGAGTATACTACGTTCCCACTATGTATTGGGTTATACCTAGATTTGGTGTTTAAACTATATTTAGTTACCCACTGCATTCACCTCATATCTTACTGTCAAATTTTGATAACTTCCAAATTGGTTTATTCAGGTAATCGGTCCTTAATAGCCTCCTAATTTGGTGTGCCTGTTATTCGAAGTATTTTCTAGACTAGTATACTCCTTCTAATAGGTGGCCTCTCGTCTACATTTCTCAAACCAGGTATCTGTTGCTGCCGCTAGTTCCATATGAGAAGTATTAGTATTACATGTTGGAAAGAGAACTTATTATGGGTTTGCATTGCTTAGTTTCTGTCAGCTTGTATTCTTTTATACAACTTAATATTACATGAATACCCCAAACCTTCTACTGTATCTCCAGATATACTAGCCTTGTATCACAAGCCAAGGCCCTGCTATCACTACCCAGCTTGCCATCTTCAGGTCTTAGCATTTTCTAAGTTCTCTAATGCAGTGTACTTCTTACTATCCCTAAGTACTCCCTTATATAGTATTCGTCAAGACCATAGTTTGTGAGGACCTCTTGAGTTGTATAGCAACTACAAGACTACACACTCCCAGCCATTAGCTATTTTCATAATTCTGCTTTAATGACCTATCTTATTAAAGATCAGCCTAACACCACGAAATTACTTAAATAGCAAGCTAAATCACTTTCAGCAATTTCTAGTTGGTATCACATTAATATTTATAAATCCTAACTTTTTTTCATCATAGACTTCTATATAGGTGTGACTAGAGTTCTGAATTGGTACCTTTAGACATACAGGGGTAGGTTATATTCTCTACACTGAGTAGCCTTCTATAGTTATTCCACTGGTACCAGAGGTGCTTCCAATTTCAGTTAAAACATGATTCTTTACCACAGCCTATAGTTGTGTATCACCACTTCTCTCACTACTCCAGTTTTAATAGTATAGTATCACCCTTCCAAGCAAGTACCCAATGCCATTCTATATTAGAACTTATACGCATAATTCATT